TTCATTTCTTCGACTGTCTTTTGAGTAGTTAGGAATACATCATCTCGAAATCTACGGTATAACTCTTTTTCTTTTTCTTGTTGTTCAAGGAGAGACTTTTCCCATTTTTTAATATAAACATCAGCTAGAACTTGGGTGCAAGCTGACCCCATTGCGCCTCCTCTCGTTTGTTGATAGAATCTTGGTGGTTGTCCTGGTAATTGTAGTGTGAAATAAGAATTATTCAATACATGTTTTAGTAGGATACGGATCGTGTTGATCGGAATGTCGCCGTTGACCTTACGAATGTTATGTTGCCCTAACATTTCACAAATAGCCATCACTGCCTCGTGTTGTGGTATCGATGTATATAGGTCACTTATGTCAAATGTATACAATTTTGTTTTTTCATTTGTTTGAAATGTTTTTAAATCGTTCAAAAGATCAATTGAATTGCTTAAACTATAAGGTGTTACCTTGTTAAAGATCGGTCTTAATATCTGGTCAAGGAAAGATGATATTTTTGAAGTAGGTGACTTTATTCCTGCTACAATCGGACGTAGTGGCTCTCCAATTTTGTGATCTTTGGGATTATAGTAGAGGTGTGGAAGTTCTGATTCATTTCTAGATGGTCGTAATTTTTCTAGATATTTAGATGGTAAAAGTTTTCTTCGTATTAAATCGAGTAATAGTTCTTCCGTATTCTTGATCATATCTTCTAGAGGTGACTTATCAATTTCTTTATAAGCATTCATCTTCGACATGTATTGTGCTGATTTTTTTATGTATACTTCAGGATTTCCTAGATGAAATACTTTAGATTTGTCGGTTTGTCGAAAAACGACTTTTTGTTCTTTTTGAGCTTTTTTTAAATTTCCTAATATCTTCAGCATTTTTGGATCTGCTATCTTTTCCTTTGATACAGCTGTTCGGACTTCCTTTTCAATACGTTCGCAAAAACGATTCACTATTTCTGGATTTCTACCTACCGTTCTTGTTTCTCGTCGCCATGCGGCTGCTACCTTTTCTTTCATTACATCAATTTCATTTTCTAATCGTTGCAAAGTCTGCTTTGGATTTTGTGGAACAAATTTAGGACCGTAATTCAAGATTCTACGTTCTGCATCTGTCAATAGTAATGCTTTATTATTAATTTGAGGTGGATAAGCAAGAGCGGTGTAATGTGGGTGCATTTTTTTCTGATTCTTTGATTTTATCATGTTTTTCTCATTCTGTAGGTTTTTTGTTCTAAAAAATGAATCTTTTTTTCTACAGTCTGATCTTGCCTTGTCTTAATTGTATGAATGAGAACATCAAATTGTTCTCGAATATCTTCTGGCAGTGTTTCTAGTGATTCTTTATAATTGTTTTCTACTTTTTCAATTTCGGCAACTTTTGCCATTATCATGATAGATGTAAAATCTTTCTTTGCATGTCGAATTATATTGTTCCATTGTTCTGTGAATTGTTCTATCTCATTCTTTTCTAATACTTTGCTATGTAATTGTAATTTATCAATGGTATTCAGATAAGGAGGTGGCATATTCAAATTCATTCGTTTCTCTAATTTTTTATGTTGAAATTCTAGATTCAAGATTCTCATGTATTGCTCTTCTAGTTTCTTTATTTTTTTCAAGTTCATATGTCTCACACGTCCGACAAAATCCAACCCTTCACTTCCACGTAGTGTCGAATGTAAACGTCAACTCTGACGGCTAAGATGGGCTCTGGTAAGGCTCTCAGGGCTAGTCACCCTAGATGCCTTCTACAATGACTTCGAAAATAACAATAGAAGAACCCATTCCGGGCAACAGTCTCTCGCTTCGTCGCCAGCAAACGGAGATTTCGAAGAAATCTACGACTATGATAAGGCAGTTACCTGTCTTTGACATTGCAACGACGAAACCAACCAAAAACCAAAAACCAAAAACCAAAAACCAAAACAATCCACAAGGCCATCACAATATCAACCTACAACGTTCGCACACTCAAAAGACTTGGCAAATTACACCAACTCATACACGGATGCAACGACAACAACATTGACCTGATAGCTGTACAAGAACATCGTTGGCAAACACACGGACAAACCGGCACCTACATCGAAACTTGGAACAATTCAAAATGGCGCTTCGAATACTCCTCAGCAACACCAACAGGTCAGGGAGGCGTCGGTCTACTCATGAATCCACGGTTCTCTACACTACACTCTTCAACCGAAAAAATATCCGATCGAATATTAATCGTACATTTCAAAACCAATCCTGCAATAACAATCATCGTTGCATATGCGCCCATAGAAGACAAAGGGGACGCTGACAAAGATGCGTTTTACGATGATCTACAAAAATGTACATTAGATGTTCCACCTCACAATGTTCTAATTCTCGCCGGTGATCTAAATGCAAGACTCGGACCCGACAGCCACTTAACCAATCCACGAGCAATTGGCAGACACACATATCACAACACAACAGACGACAATGGCAATAGATTGGTCAACTATTGCGAAGCATGCAACATGCGATCAACACAAACACGCTTCCTTCAACCAAAATCACGAACTTGGACCTGGCTACACCCCAATGGCAAATCAACAGCTCAATTAGACCATATCCTCATCAACGGGAAATGGTTAAACTCAATTAGAAATGCTCGCGCGTACAACACGGTCGAACTACATTCCGACCATCGAATAGTGAGTGTAAAAATGTCTATCAGCCTACGAGCACCAAAAAACAACAAATGCCAACGCATCACATACGACTGGACCAAACTCAAAAACAACTGCAGTCTCCAATCTCAATTCAACATCGAAGTCCAAAATCGTTACGACGTCCTCAACGCAAACAACCTGGACAACAACATACAAACAGAATATGACAATTTCATAGAAAGTATAAAACAAACAACAGAAAAACTAGTCGGGCAAACAAAACGATCAATCAAAAAGAACTGGGTCTCGGACGAAACCATGAACTTTTTGAGAAAACGAAACAAAGCCAAAAACATATTCAAACAAAAACCAAACCCAAACAACAAAAACAACTGGCACCAACTCAACAAACATCTTAACGCATCTTACCAAAACGACAAAATCCAATTTCTTGAAGACAAACTTGAACAGTTGAATCAAGCCGCAATCTCAAATCAATCAAGAACCACGTGGAACCTTATAGATCAAATTAGTGGAAAACGTAGGTACAACAACGCCACAAAGATCAAAAGTACAAACGGTTCTAAAATCAACTCAACCGCAGAACTGATGAACGAATGGAAACGATACTTTGAAGAATTACTCAACGTCAAGTCAAATACATCTCCAACTACACAAACAATTCCACCAGCCGACAAAGATCTTCCAATCAACACGGGTCCAATTTCGATCGCTGAAGTACAACAAGCAATCAAACAGCTAAAAAACGGAAAATCTCCCGGACTCGATCACATCATAACACCAGAAGTACTCAAGTATGGCGGCGATTGGATCGTTCACAAGCTATGCAATATAAGCAACGAAATATTCGAAAATCAAACAACACCAACACAATTCAACACCAACATCATCATCCCTATACCCAAAAAGGGAGATAAAACTCTCATGTCGAACTACAGAGGTATAAGTCTCATGTCTGTTGCAGCCAAAACATACAATCGAATACTTCTAAATAGAATACGAGAACCGCTTGATCCAATTCTTCGAATAGATCAAGCTGGCTTCCGGAAAGGAAGAAGCTGCATAGATCAAATACATACAATACGTCGTATACTAGAAGGCGCAGTGGATAAACAACTACCAATCTACATCACCTTCATAGACTTCAAAAAAGCCTTTGATTCTATTGAAAGAAAAACAATGTTTGAAATTCTCAGGCATTATGGAATACCAATGAAAATGATCAACGCAATTCAAACTATATACAACAACTCACGAAGTGCAGTTCTGGTGGATGGTCAACTCACAGAAGAATTCGACGTCACTACCGGTGTTTTACAAGGTGATACATTGGCACCATTCCTCTTCATTATTGTAATCGATTACGTCATGAAAAATGCGGAAACACAACACACAAATGAACAAGGTGAACATGGATTTGTAACAAATCAACGACAATCAAAACGACAACCAGCAACAACAATTCACGATCTAGCCTTTGCTGATGATATCGCTCTGTTCGCAAGTAACTTCGACAGAGCACAAACACAATTGATCACAACAATGAATTGGGCCGATAAAGCAGGCTTACAAGTCAACATCAAAAAGACACAAGCACTAACAAACCAAAATACCAACAACAAATCTATGCAAATAAATGGAGAAGACATTCAATGGGTAGACAATTTCAAATACCTTGGCTCAATGGTACTCTCAAGCAACACAGATATCAAAGTAAGGAAAGGGTTAGCATGGAAAGCTTTCTGGAAATTGCGAAACATATGGAAATCGACAACAATACCTACGAAACTTAAGATTAACATCTTCAAAGCTTCTTGCATTTCGATTTTACTATATGGCTCCGAAAGCTGGATCATCACAAAAACCCTTGAGAAGTCCCTAAACAGCTTCGCTACTAGCTGTTATCGAATAATACTCAACATTAAACGACTGGACAAAATATCAAATAATACAATCTACGAAAAAGTGAAACAAGAACCCCTGGTACAAACAATACAACGTCGACAACTGCGCTTTATTGGACATTGCCTACGCCGAAACTCAAATGAATTTACCAACATGTATGCTCTGTACACTCCGAAACCTGGCCATGGAAAACGTAAGCGTGGACGACCCCGCTTGAAATACGTTGATTACGTCGCAAGACTGATCAGCAATGACAATCCACCAACGATCGAAGAAATCAGAAAGGCTGCTGCAGACAGGAAAAGCTGGTACGATATTGTTATCGCCTGTAAACCGCGCCTGTTTGCAGTCGACTGATGATGATGATGATGATGTTACCGTCATATATGATAATAAACAGCTCTTTGTCGAAACTTTGTTATTATTATATAAAATAAAACATGATGAAACATTACAGAAAAATAAAGCATTGTTATTATTATCACCACATATACAGAGAAAGTTTCCTAAAGCTTTCTATAGGGAACTAAAGTGCCGTTATCATTACTTTTGGCAGGATCTAAGTGGTAACACCATTGATACATTTTGAAAATGCAAAATAAGAAAAGAAAAAAAAATAAAAAGAACAAATGCTCTACGCTTGAACTGTTCTAGACCTCAAATTATTTTGCATGAAACCAGACCAACTAAAATGATTCTAAGT